GTAGGGAAACTGCAGAGAGGTGGTTGCCTCTTCGCAACTTATTTCCCCTCTCCGGAGGGACGGAGCCCAACGAGCACTCCCAGCTCTCCGCAAGGAAGTTGATGCCAAGGGATGGGCTGATATCTGAGCAAAACCAGCTGCATTTGCGTTTTGTTGGGAACTTGTGCGCTGTCTGACCGGCTTCTGGTACTCCCCTCCAGCTCATTGCTTGCGCCAAGGCTGCTGGCACATAAGATACAGTCGCCTCAGGAGGTGGAAGCTCTCCACGCTCTCACGGTAAGCTCCTTCATCTGCATGAAAAGAGAGGCAGCAGTAGCTTGGAGAAAGGGTTTGAGGGGTAGAGACAGTATAGCTGTCTCTTCTTTTTCTCTTAGATGTCTCTCCCTTTCTTTTTAACCTTAGATGTCTCTCCCTTTTAACTTTCCATTGCACAAGGAATACAGAAATCAGGGTACAACAGAGGGAGTAGCTGCAGTTGTTCCTTCCCGTGTCACTCAGCTGAGGTGCTTCCGTGGTCTGCAGCTCTTGCTGTTTGACCTGTGGTCCCAACAAAATGGCTCAAAAGTTATTAGTAATAGGTAGAACAGATCTTAAACATGCTGATTAAGAAGGCTGGATGAAGGAAAAACGCATGTTCTTGCTGCACCACATTCTCAATATCTTGTGTTTGTGAATGCAGCATCAGGAAGTTCTTAGCTGTAGGATTATAATGGCAAAACTTCTGAAAAATCCCTGAAACTTGTGGGTGCGGTTTCTATTTGGTATTGCTTTGTTTTCTGCAGGTGCTAGAGACCTGTGTGAATAACTGCGGTGAAAGATTTCACAATGAAATAGCAAAATTCAGGTTTCTGAATGAGCTGATTAAAGTGCTCTCCCCAAAGGTAGGTGGTTGCAGTTACACTGGGCACACTGCTTATTTTGCATGAGATGTGCAAACTGGATACATGAGATTAATTCTATCTCACGCTGAAGTAGAGCAGATTTTGTTCTGTGTCTCCAAGCATAAGGACTGGACGTGAATTCCCCTGTAAACGGTGTAAGCCAGGGGCTCTTTCTGTGACAAGCTGTTTCCTTGTGGTTTCTCCCAGCGCTGGGACAGTCAGGGACTCCAGAAGAGCTTGGAATTGTTCCTGAGCCCCCTCAGCCTGTGGCCCTTTTGCCTCACAGTGAATGACAGCACTTTGGTTGGGGAAGTGGCAGAGGACAGAGATGCCAGGAGCTGCCCAGACCCTCTCCATTGTTTTTCTTGCACTCTCCCTCCAAACTGTTCTGCTCAGGCTGCTCTCCTTCACGCTTTCTCCTACCAGAGCCCAGCCTGGCTTTGGGTTGTGGGGCAGGGTCAGCTCAGGCGGTGGCAGCAGGGACTGGGCTTCAGCAGCCCATGGGCAGGACTCACTCCCCCATTGCCGGATGGATGTGTTCATGCAGCCCCCCGTGCATCCTGTCCCTGGGGAAGAGGATTCCCAGCCCCAGGCAGTGACAGACCCGAGTCAGGGGGAGGCTGGAAGGGATTGACTACAGAGCCCCTTCCTGCTGGTCCGCTGCCCTGGCTTGCCGTGGATCCATTCAGTAAATTCCCTGTGTTCATCCCTGCTCCCTGCTGTGGAGCACTTTGCTCCGAGTGCAGTCGCTGCCTCCTGAGAAGAGAAGCAGCCGTGGGACGCGAGCAGTTCAGTCTGAGAACGTGAGTGAGCTGTGAGTTCAGGGTGGATGCTCTCCGTGCCCCGGCACTGCCTCTCATGATGAAAAATGGAGACCTGTTTTATCCAGGGCTGTGTGATCTTCACACCTTGCTCCTCTCTGCATCAGCTGTCGGGCCTGGGACTTGCTTCAGTGCCCATCTCAGCAGCTTGGGAATTGATTCCCCTTTCTAGTGGGTGCTGCACACATTTACCACTTGTGCAGGCTCCACTTTCCATTACATCACCTCGATGGTAGAGGTGCAAAAAGCTGATTTCGGAGAAATGTTTAACCAAGCAGCGAAACCTCTTCCCTCAGTCCCAGGTTTGGTAAAGGTATTTCAGTGAAACAGTGAAGTTCAAAGAATATATCGCTACAGAGAATTTTGATAGAACAGGTATCATGTAATGAGTTAAAATGGACGTTTATGTGTGCCTTTCGTCTTTTTCCTGATGTTTTTGTGATACATTAAAGTGAGTGCTTGTAGGCAATAATGACAGGAAAAAAACCCAGTCATTTTCACTTCTCGGTTTGTTCAGTTTTCGTTTGTCCGGGTCTGGCTGAGGCCAGCCGTGCTATTTGCACCGCAGGCAGTTAAAGGAAGTATTTAAAGACAAGCACAGAACTGTGTTCACTAAAATAACGCGGCCTACTTTGGGGTTTGGATTCAATAACTTGAAATGGTCTCATTTTGATTGTCATATTTATGTAATTATCATACACTTAGCAGCATTCCCTGTGTTCACAGCCGCACACGCTGATTCCCACACCACAAGCTAACGCTGGCAGCACTGAATAAAGTGTTGGGAACCCATTGGCTGCTTGGTCTTACTTTACTTTTTTGTTTTGGTTTCAGTACTATGGAACTTGGTCTTCAGAAAAAGTCAAGTCAAGAGTCACAGAAGTAATATTCAGTTGGACAGTCTGGTTTCCTCAGGAAGTTAAAATCCGGGACGCTTATCAGATGCTGAAGAAACAAGGTTCAGTTCTGTTACTTCAGTTTCCTTTTCAGCCTTCCAAGTCACGTGGCCGCGGGCCACAGATATCTGCCCTCGCGAATTTGTGACTCAGCCTTTTTGAGAAAATGTTGCGGGTAAGACCCGTTGAGCATCGGTGTTTTAACAGCTCAGGCATCACTGAACAGATACCGTTACCCTTTCCAGGGATTGTAAAAGAAGACCCCAAATTGCCAGAAGACAAAATTTTACCTCCCCCTTCTCCGAGACCTCAGAATTCTATATTTGAAACAGATGAAGAGAAATCCAAGGTAAACCTTAGGGTTTCCATGCCTACCCTGCCCCCTGCTCTGTTTTGTACTGATGAGAAAACAGACTCAGTCATATTTCAGGAGCTTTTGCTGCTTCAGACAGAATATCTTCAGAATAATGCTAATTCAGAATAATGCTAATACTTCTTGCTCTAAAACAGCTCGAGAATTCTGTGATGCTTTGTCAGAAATTTTTGCTTAGTAAAAAGTGCAACTGTTGTACAGAAAAACATCATCTTCTATTAAACTTTCCCAAGGGAGGGTTTCTCTGGGTGTTAGAGGAGTTTTGCAGAGGCAGAGACTTCCTATTCCCAAACAGTCACACAGTGCGTGCAGGCAGCTGTAGCAGGATACTCTGGATTAAGTGACGGGGCATGAGCCCGCCTGTTTCCAGGATTATAGAAAGTCTCTATATCTGCTGTGCCTGTGGAATAGTGCCTGGGTACTGCTGCTCACTGCTGTGCGATGCTCTCCCCTCCACAGCTCCTGGCCAGGCTGCTGAGGAGCCGCCACGCAGAGGACCTGCAGGCTGCCAACCGCATCCTCAAGAGCATGATGCCAGAGGTGGGGAGGCCCAGCCGCCACGCAGAGGACCGGCAGGCTGCCACCCGCCTCATCAAGAGCATGATGCAAGAGGTGGGGAGCTCCGGGGCTCAGGAGCCATGTTTGCCGCCGGAGAAGGGACTTGGCAGTTCTGGTTTTGACCAGGGGTCATCTGGGCCTGACCTTCATGGTGCTGCCCGAGAGGAGGAACGGTTTTTAGTGTTTGTTATTCCAAAGTTACTGCGTGGGATCGGTTTTGCCATTGCCAGGAGGAGGGGGTGGGTATACCCAGGAGCCCATATGGTGGGACGCTTCCACGTGAGTGGGATCCTGGCAGAAAGTTTCCAAAAAAGAAACTCAGTTCCCAGGTGGAAAAAAGCCACATCTGCACAGAGCTGGGGTGTTTTTTGGTTTTTTTTTTTGCGCACTGGTTATGAGCATGTCTGGTGTGTCTGCTTTCACTTTCCATCCGAAAGAGCACCCCACTTCTCTGCATAAGCAGGAGATCTGCTCTGGTTTAATGCAATTCCTGCAGTCATTTAGAGAGTGCTGCTCTGTGTGGCAGAAGCCACCAACTTCCAACTGTAATTTTGAAGTCTTACTCGTGCCTGTGATGAAATGAGTTCTGTACGTACCAGCACAGTGGCCAGGGTGCCCTGAGGAGGGCAGGAGGTTTCCATCTCCACCCATGACAGGGAGGTGTGGTGCTGTTGGGGGCTGCCTCGTGCCTCCTCTGCCTGCAGTAGGATATGGGTAGGAAGCAACTCACCAACAAGTGTGATCGGGGCACCCCAGCCAAGCACGTGCGCTGCCTGTGTTAGCAAAATCATTGTCTACTTTTATTTCCTTGTTCATCAAAGGAGCAAGAAAAGTCAGCTAGGGTGTCCCGAAGAGTGAACACCATCAGTGAGGTTTCTGAGAATGTGAAACGCATGGATGAATTACTGGAAAACTACAAGAAACAAGAATTACCCAAATCTGATCAGGAGACCCTACAGGTAAATGCTCTTTTTCCTGCATAAGAGGGCATGGGTGTGATGAGATCTCAACAGAGAAGCTCAAAGCTGTGGGTTCTTCAGCCTGTGCTATGGTTTCTGTGATTCCCCTTTTTCTGCCCAGAGTTCACTGGTTTTCTGCTGCTCATAAGTATCAGTGAATTGAAGAAATGCTTGGTGTCACCCATAGGGCTGTCAGAACAGCTTTATGGCCTCCAAATACCTGAAACTCCACTAGGATGCCTACCAGAATCTCAAATTAAAAAACTTCAGACAAGTGAATTTTTGTAGGTAAGAACTTGTGTGCAATGGCAGAGTTTGGAGGCAGCTGCTGCTGGGAGGGCTGTTGCTATAGATGGAAGAGACCCTGCTTTCAGACTGAAAAAGTGTCTGCCTCCACAGCTCCTCGCTCCCTAAAACTGAGAGGAGAGCCAAAAGTGGCTTTGCGTTGTCTGACAGTAGTTGCAACCAGCGGTTGTAATACTTCCCTCTGAGATCCATCTGTTCACACCTGGATACTTTTTCCTTTAAACAGAGTGGTTTTACACTGATCCATCTTACGTGTGTGTGCACAGAGAGGCTGTGATTGCTGAGGAGACACAGCAGAGCCTTGTTCCAGTGGCTGTACTTCAGGCTGCTGTGGATTTTTAAGAGCGCAGCACCAGGCAGCATTGGTAGCCTTTGGCTGGACCTGGGCAGAAAGTGCATCTTCCTTTTCTAGAGGTGATCATGGACACAGAAAAGTGTGAGAGTGTCTGGGGGCTCCTGAGCAATCATGTGAAACATTTCCTTCCCCAGACCCTGTTTCAACACTGTGAGAAGCTCAGGCCGCTGCTCTTTCGCCTTGCCAGCGAGACGGTTGATGACGACGAGGCTCTAGGTAAGAGCCAACACTGTTCCTGGATTTCTTTGCAGTGAAGTTTGTCCACCTTTGCTCTGAGAGGGAGAATGCCTAGGCACTTGCTACCCTGCTGGCAAAGCTTTCCACATTTGCCTTTAAGCCATGCCTGTGGGAAGTGACAGAAGTCTCCTCCCACTGCTCTCCGAGGGAGCTATACGTTGCACTTGGTGCCCAAAGTGAAGCAGTAAATCCACTTTCTTCCAGCCAAGGTGGTTTTCAGAGTTTGGGGAGTTCTGGTGTTCAGGCAGCTGAAGGCTTTTGAGGTCTTTTCTCCCTGTCCATCAACATGGAAGGGAGAATATTTTTTTTAATTTCTTAATTAACATATTGCAGAGGGTGATATGAGCAGAAACTTTGCATTTCACAGTCTTCCCTGTATTCTTTGAAAATCTGACCGAAGTGATGCCTTGCTGAATGAGCATCTTACAGAGCAACCATGAGAGCTCAGCTCTGCCTCAAGCATTTCATTCACACCCACGAAAGCCAGGGCTCTTTGGCTGTGGAGTGCTGGATTACAGACTCAAGTACACTCGGGAAAACTTGGGGAGAACAACAGAATGCCTAAGCGATGGCAGGAGCTGTAAGTGCTTTAGAGATAGGATCAGATTTCGAAGTGGTAGATAAGAGAGAAGCCTGAAATCAGCAGATGTAAGTGCAAAATGCTGCCCTTCGGAAAATGGAATGAAAAGCTAGTCAGGAGCTTAGGGGAGATTGCCCCACTGGGCTTTGCTCCAGGCGAGTCCTTGGATGCACTGTCCCTTTCTTTGTTTCCTCTTCTGTTTTCCAGCTGAGATACTGCAGGCCAACGACAAGCTCGTGCAGGCGCTCGCACAGTACAGGCAGGTTGTAGGCAGCCACGAAAATGGTGGAGGAGGAGGTTCAGCCACTGGCTCCACAGAGGCACCAGGTAAAGCGCATCCTGCAGCGTTCCACAACCGCTCTGCATGTCCTGTATGAGTGCAGGGAAGGAAGTGCTTCTCAGAGAGTACATGTGAAGAAAATCCCATAACACGGGAAAACTATAACTTGCTTTTACTTATGGTTGGTAGAAAATACTCCTGAAGTTCTTCACCCACGAGTCCCCTCAGGCATGTCTGTACCCATAAACACACCACTTCTTTCAGGAGATTTCTCTCTAACTCTTTCTGCTGTTTCCAAAGTGTGCCGGCCAGCCCCAAGACGCATGAAGAGCTACACACTGATCGACTTTTCTGAGCTGGAGGTGACACCGCCGTCTCCTACAGAGCACCTGGCGGACACAACCCCTGCCTCCCGGCACGGCAGCACCACCTCCGCCTGCCTGCTCGACGAGGAGTTCAAGTTGTTAGGTGTGTGTGTGCGCCTTGGTACTACGTTACCCTGTTAGTAGGGTTCATGGCGTTAAACCCAGATAGGAGAACTTTGACTTTAACGGTGGTCGTAAAAGAGACCTTTTGAGCCAGTGTTGTAAGTTTTCAAGAACGTAGTTCCTTTAATGGTGTTAGCCTGTTGTCAGACAGCAAAGGAAGAACCTATGCAACCTCCTTGGCTTTCGTAATTGATTGGTGGCATTTTGGCATCTTAGGTCTCAGCAACTCTCCTGTTGTACAGAACACCCCACCTGATTTTGGATTGGCAGAGGTGAGTGATCCTCAGAAACTCCAGTCCGTAAGGTACGAGGCACAAAAATCAGACATGATTCCTGATCTCTCTTTCTCTGGCAGCCCTTTTTCACACCACTCTGTTCTGAAGGGAAACTGGAATCCTCCTGCTCTGCAGTGAATTTCTCAGCTGCAGTCTGCAGTCAGATTACTCACATTCATTTCGGCTTTAAGTAGCGTTATTAAAAGTGAGGTTCTTTTCGGTGGAACAGGTCTGGTTTTTGCTGATGTTCTAAGGCATGAACCCGAAGTGCCTTGTTTTTCAGACTGCTGTACAGAATGGATATGGAGAAATTGTGAGCGCTGCTCAAACGCTGGGACTGCGGGAGAGCTGGGAAGACAGCTCTTCAGAGAAGAATGAATGTCAGGGCCTGGTGGGCCAGCTCTCTCCACCATCTAGGACCAAGATATCCTTGTAAGCAAACCCTGCACAATGCAGCCTGGCTTTGGAGATGAGGCTTTGGAGAGGAGGAATACTGCTTTGCAGCAGCGAGGTTTAGGAAAACGTTTCAACTGCAGGTGGCCACTGGTGGCAAGCTGTCCATCCGTGCACGGGCTCCTCAGCAGCAGTTACGTGCCTCTTAATTGCACTTTGTGTAATTGCACTCTGGGACCTTACAAGGGTCAGAGACTTGGGGAGACAGATGGCTTAATAACAGGGTGATCTTGAGCTTCTTCCATATAAAATAGAGACAATTGTCAACTTTCTCAAGAACTCGAGAGAGTGTAAACCTGTACTTTCTTTATACCCAGAAGGGATGAGGGATTGGTGGCAGCAGTGGACACAGCAGAAGATGGTGTGTATCATGCAGTCTTCCCAGTTAATACAAGCTTTCTGCATGCTTTTCTTTTCAGGGATTTATCACCAATGAAATCGCCCTTTCCAGATCTTCCAAATAGCTCAATGCCAGACACTCCGTTCTCCAGCCTAGGCTACGAGCTGAAGCCTGCTGCCTCTTCGCACGCAGCTTCCCACGATGCTTCTCTAGAAAACCTTTTTGTCCCTTTAAGTTCAATTACACCAAGTAAGTGCATTGATTTGTGTGCCCCAGCTCTGCTTACTAGAGCTCTTCTGTGACTTTCGCAGAGCAGCAAGCCAAAGTAGCTTCATGCTGTGTGGGTCATAGAATCATAGAATGTTCGGCTGGAGAAAAGTAACAGCCGTTGTGTGAAGGGCTTAATGTATCTGAGAATCTGAGCAAGTGCTAGGGATTGCGCCATGGTCTTGAAGCCTTTAATCAAGCTTCAAGCAGTATTTTTTCCAGAGGCTTAAAAGATATCCGTGGGTGGGAGGTGTCCCACTTCCTAAAGCAGAGCTGTTCTTTCCCCCTCTGTTTTTTGGTTCAACACTGTATGGCCTGGCCCTGCAACCACTTCACAGGGTGTTCCCTGGGTACGTGGCACTCCTGTGTCTCAGAGCAGGACATGTCCTCTTAAGAGGACTGCAGAGCCTTGGCCATTGCTGCTTTTGGAAGAAGACAGGGGCAGAGATATTCTGACCTGATCGTCTTCTGCCTTCAGTCTTTCACCTGAAGGATTTACCAGATTTGGAAGGGCTGGGTGGTGAGTCAGGTAGGGATTTACCGATCAATGGCCATAGAAGGCTAAGTCTTGCAAGTGCTGAACAGTTGTATTTCACTTTTCCCATCGTATCTGTATTGGCTTCACGCCTCACATCTTTAGCTGACTCAAAATCTGAGCTGCTAGTCTCCCCATCTCTAATTTACACATTCAAGATTCCTTGAAGGAAAATGTAAATCACAGGGAGGTGCTCTGTGCTGCCTGGTCTGTGAGTTTGCTGGAGGAAGTAGAAGTTTGTATATGTCTTTCCTTTTTGGTGTTCTGTACCCCTCCGTTGCTGTTTTGCCCTCAGGAGGGAGCGGAATCCATGCTTTGTTTCTGATTCTTCTTTTGTCTCTGTCAGGCAGCACCTGTCCACTCACTGTGTTCGATAGGAACGGTTTCAAGGCCATGCTCCACTTCTCCAGAGACCCAGCTCCTGGCCGACCAGACGTGCTGGTGATGGTGCTTTCCATGCTGAGCACCTCAGCTCAGCCAATTAAGGACATAGTGTTCCAGGCTGCAGTCCCCAAGGTGAGAAGCCTGTGACAAGTAGCAGAGAACGGGACTACCCAGAAATGTCGTGAAGTGAAGGTTTGCCATTTCCTCCTTGGGATTCACCTTGCTCATTGGAAATAATGTTCTGTTATTAAATGCTAAATGTGTGTCCCTGGCCTTGCAACAGCTAGGCAGGGCTCTAGACATGCTGCGTTACCCTCCTGGGTAAGGCACTGGCTCTGCCTGTGTACGTGCAGCTTAGAATTGTCTATTTAGGAGGATCTGCCTTTAGATGCAGGCTGTGGAAAGGCTTTTCATTAAACGACAAAATCTGGCTGACGTATCTTCGACCAGCTCTGTGGCTTGATAATACTCCCCAGCCCTTGTTCATCAGGGACTAAAAAGCGTTCATTTTCTCTTTCAGACCATGAAAATAAAGTTACAGCCAGCCTCTGGTTCTGAGCTGCCTGCCTTCAGCCCCTTACTGCCCCTCGCCGTGGTGTCCCAGGTCCTGCTGCTCGCCAACCCGCACAAGGTGTGTGCGGGGATCGTGTCCCTCGGTGGAGCGCTGCGGATGACGCGGCAGCGGGCGGGATACTCGCAGGAAGGAAGGGGAGAGTACCATTAGGGCGGAGATGCAAGGGAGAGACAGAGCAGTCTGGGCTATACCATGAAGATGTTCTTCCCATGGAAACAGCTTTCCAGAGCTATAATCTGAAGGATAGGATTGAATCGGTGGCTGCTGCTGGGGCCTGCACAGCTCTTCAGAGATACAGAGTTCCCTGCAGAGATGGCTCCTCGTAGTCACTGTGCAGATGTTTGCAGCTGGAAGAACACGAGGCTGCTCAAGGCACAAGCGATGGGTGGCAGTTCTGTTGCAATGGAGGATCATCATGAGACAGAAGGCTGCCCAGGCCTGGACTGCCAGGCATGCAGGTCTGCCAGCTGCTCCTTCTGTGCCTTGGGAAGATCCAGGTCTTGTTCTGTGCAGAACTGCTGCATGGCTGAACTGTTACTCTCCCCTTTCAGAAATTGGGTCGCTGTGAGGGGTGAGGCTGAAGGGGGCCCAGGAATCTGCAGTCCTAAGGTGTCTCTCTGTCTGTTCCTTTCTTTCACAGGATCCCATCCGGCTGAGATACAAAATGACGTTCACGCAAGGCGCGCAGCCCTTCAGCGAGGTGGGAGAGGTGACTGGCTTCCCAGAAACAGAGCTCTGGGGCAAGAGCTGAAGTTCCGCAGGCTTGGACGTTACCCTGTTGCCTCAGCAGTGGATGGGCAGGGACTGTGCGCCAGCAATGCTGGCCTGGGCTCTGTAACGACTCCTTTCCTTGCCGTCTGCCATCTCCTTCTTCCTTTTGGTTTCTGTGCAGGTGTCTGGCAGGAGGAATGTGCATTGCTGCCCCTGCCACAGCCTCTCTGTAGCTGACGCTGCTTTACAGAAGACTGCTGTAGAGCCCGGCAGCTTGGGACCCCTAATGCTGCTTCCACACGAGTCTTTCCTGCTGCTTTCTGGGCCAGTTTTCCCTCTCTCCCATTACTTTTTGAATTAAAAAAAAGTGCAAACCTACAAGGTACCAAGTGGAGTGAATCCAAGGAACAGGGGCAGCACTTTGGGGCTGGGCTGGGAAAGCCAACTGCCGAGCAGCACCAGCTCCTCTGTGCCGCCCTGCAGCTGCATTTCCTCGGGGCTCGGCTGCCCTCAGGCCGTGCCGAGGGGCTCCTCCTCCACGAAGCCATCTCTCCCGAGTGAGGCGGATGCGCTGGTGCCCGCGGGCGCTTGCTTCTGGTGGGGAGTGGCTAAACCCTGGCCTTTCAGCCAGGCTGGGGCTAGTAGGTCGAGTGAGGTTCTCCTGCCCCTCTGCTCTGCCCTGGTGAGGCTGCGTCTGGAATTTTGTGTCCAGTTCTGGGCCCCTCCGCTTAAGGGGGACAGGGAGCCCAGCGCAGCCACAGGGATGATGGAGGGATGGAACATCTCCTTTGTGAGGAAAGGCTGAGGGAGCTGGGGCTCTGCAGCTGGAAAAGAGAAGCCTGAGGGGTGACCTCATAAATGTTTATAAATACTTCAAGGGGGAGTGTCAGGAGGATGGAGCCAGGCTCTTGTCAGGGATGTCCAGAATGACAGGACAAGGGGCACTGGGTGCAAGCCGGAGCATAGGACATACATGACATTGATTTTGTAATTTATTACTATAAACATGCCTAACTTGCCACTAATTCTACAATTACTGGTTAGTGATAACAGTTACACTCATCATTGGATCAGTCTATTAAAATTAGCTTCACCTCTCATGTAAATGGATGTCCAGAATGACAGGACAAGGGGCACTGGGTGCAAGCCGGAGCATAGGACATACATGACATTGATTTTGTAATTTATTACTATAAACATGCCTAACTTGCCACTAATTCTACAATTACTGGTTAGTGATAACAGTTACACTCATCATTGGATCAGTCTATTAAAATTAGCTTCACCTCTCATGTAAATTAGCACACATGCTCATCGTGGTGGGGGGGCAAGTTTTTGGCACTCTGAACTGAGTCAGTGGTTGTAATCTCCCTCTGCCGCATTTAATTTTGGCTCACTTTGAGCCTTTCATCAACAATTTTTGACATTTGGGTACCCTCTAATTCCATAAAGGGGGTTTTGACTAGAAAAGCCCCGCTCAGGTCTGATGCCACACACCCCCAAGGATGAATAGCTTGTTAAAACCTTCTAAACAACAGTCTAGTTGCTATTGTTGCTCTAAGGATGGCAGAACAATTTCTACTGCCTTAAGAGGGTTAAACTGGTCTTTCAGAGAATACTACCTCAAGGATGGGAAGAGGCGACAAATTTTTCAGCTGGTTAGTAGTGTGCACCTGGAGAGAGCAAGTAGGCTGTTGTTTAGAAGATTTTAATGAGCTGTTCATCCTTGAGAGTGTGTGCAACTGAACCTAAGCAGGGCTTTTCTAGCCGTTATGGAGATTAGAGGGTACCAAAACATCAAAAATTGTTGATGAGAGGCTGAAAGCGAGCCAAAATTAAACGCGGCAGAGGGAGGTGATGTCTTCTGACTCAATTCAGAGTGCCAAAAACTCGCCCCCCGCACCTGCGAGGAGCGTATGTGCTAATTTACGTGAGAGTTGTGAAGCTCATTTTAGTAGACTGGTAGCTGTTATTACTAACCAGTAATTGTAGAATTAGTGATAAATGTGGCAGTGGGAGGTGACGACCACTGACTCAATTCAGAGCACCTAAACCTCACACACCTGCAAGGCCCATGCATAATAATTCACATGAGAGCCATATCTAATTTTAACAGACTGATCCAATGATGCCGTAACTGTTACCACCACCTAGTAATTGCAGCATTAGTGACAATTTAGGCGTATTTCTCCTAATAATCTACAAAATACATAGGTGGCGGGGTTTCGATGCGGTACGCTACTTCCACTCAGCATCCAAACTTGGCCAACTTTGCTCATCGACCAGTGTTGGCTTTCTAAACTAGCATTTGG